CGCCATTTCTTCTTGTTCAGTGACTCGCTTTCCCTCCGGATCTGTAAGTTTCTCAATCTAATCTCGATTTCCGTTCGTAAAAGCACCTAATCTCCATTGATTTTGTGTATACGCGATGGTCTGATTGTTGCGAGATTATTTCGTAATTGAGCTAAATCAATGTTTCGGATGAGAATTTTGTTGTTGGTCGCTAGTTCACAATCAATTGCCTCTTGTCTGATTTGGTCAGATTTCGAATTATGGAGGAGAGTTCTCCTAAACACAATTCGGAGATTGCTTCCATTACAGAGGAGAAGAACAAAGACGAACAATCCAAACCTGTTGAGATCATTGCAGAGGAGGAGGAAGAAGATTCTCCTAAACACAATGTGGAAACTGAGAACAAGAAGATTGGAGAACAAGAGACAATGAAATCTGTTGGTACTGAGATAATTTCTCCTAAACACAATGTTGAAATTGAGAACAAGATTGAAGAACAAGAGACAGTGAAATCTGTTGGTGACAAATTTTCTCCTAAACACAATTTGGAAACTGAGAGGAACAAGAAGATGGAACTGGATTTTGAAGGGACAATGAAATCTGTTGGTGAGAAACACAATGTGGAAATCGAGGAGGAGATGGAGGAGATTGATATCCACGAAGAGGACAAGACCGTTGCACAACGAGATAAGCTGATTAGTGATAATGATGATGATACCGAGAGTTCTTCTGATTCGAAAGATGAAGAAGAAACCATGGAGGAAAAAGAAGAGGAGTCAAAACCACCCGTTAATCGAAGCTCTTCTCATGACTCACAAGATCCTAACTCATCAACCTCTGTCTGGACAGAGAAAGCAGCTGCGATCAAGAACTTCGTTAGAGTGAAGAGCGAAGTCGCTGTACATACATTTATGCGCCGCCTTTCGGGGAAAATAAGCATTGAGGGTCGAGCTCATGACATACCAAACGATGGAAAAGCCACAAGAGATGATGAGTCCAAAGAAACCAAATTGGCGGAATCTCCTAAAGCAGAAGGAAAATCCATCTGGAACCCCTTAAGCTACTTGAAGATGATGCAGAACGATGATTCAGTCGATAAAGTAGAGGCGAGAACCATGGAGGCAGAGTTGGAGCCTGTAATGATGAAAGGTAGGATAATACTGTATACAAGACTAGGGTGTGAGGAATGCAGAGAATGTAGGTTATATTTGCATGAAAAGAGGCTTAGATATGTGGAGATAAATGTCGATATCTACCCAACAAGAAAGCTAGAGCTGGAAAAGATCGCGGGACCTTCTTCGGATGTTCCTACGGTTTTTTTCAATGAAGAATTAGTTGGGAGTTTGAAAGAGCTCAAGGAAATGGAAGAATCAGGAGAACTTGAAGAGAAGATCAAATATCTTATAGCCGAAGCACCGCCTAGGGAAGCTCCTCTTCCACCTTTCTCAGGGGAAGATGATGCATCAAGTACAGGTCCTGTAGATGAACTAGCTTTGATAGTGAGGAAGATGAAGCCTTGCATTGTTAAGGACCGGTTTTATAAGATGCGAAGGTTCAAGAACTGTTTCTTAGGTTCAGTAGCTGTTGATTTCCTATCCGCCGATCAACGCCTAGAAAGAGAAGAGG